TCAAAATAACCCATCAATTTATCACACAAACATATCAACAATTCATCAACATATCTCAATCATTACAAATTCACAAATTAAATATCAAAACAAATGAAAAATAGAAAAAAATTGTTAACCCTAGCATCATGTTTTTGCTACAAACACACCATCTATATCTCAATTCATCCTTCAAATCGTGAAAATAGACAAAAAATGACAAGAAATGATACCTTGTTTGATGAGTTTGGTGTTGAATCTTCTTCTCTTCTTCGTTCTCTCGCGCTCTCTGAAGCTCTTTTTTTTTTTCTTTGTGTTGTTGCTCTCTGTTATGCTCGCGTGGAAGAAAGAAGAAGAATTTTCTTTATTTATATTTACCGGCAAAACGTATTATCAGAATACGTTTCACTGTGATTTATTTATGAAACTTATTCTGAGAATACATTTCACTGTGATTTATTTATGAAACTTATTCTGAGAATACGTTTCATAAAAACAAAAAAAATGATCGAGGCTCCCAGATTGGGGACTCGAACCCGGGTCAATGGGTGAGTCTGGTTTCTCTGGGCGCACCTCGAACCATTGTGCCGGCAGACACTTTCCAATTATTTTTAAACAAATTATATACATATACATAAAATTATACAATACATTAAATAAAAAAAAAATTGTAATTTATACTATTATATTATATTACCTACTATATGTTATATTAAATTATATCGTAGTATATAATATAACATATGTTATATATATGTTATATAATATAACATATGGTATAATATAATATATGTTATTATATACTATATAGTATAACATAGTATGTTATATTATAACATTTGTAATATTATAACAAATATAAACTACCGGGGAAATTATAAACTACCCTATATTATAACATATATAATATTATAACAAATATAACTTTCTTGTCAGGGGAAATTCTCGTTGACATAATGCATTTGAGTTTTTACCATCATTTCCCAACTACACCTAAAAATAGTACAATTGGAGTTTGAGCATTTAGTTTTAAGACGGCTTATGTATTTTGTAGGTTGTAATGCCTCACAGGGTGTATCTTCTTCATGGAAATCATGAGTCGAAGTATTGTACATCTGTATACGGATTTGAGAAGGAAGTATATACCAAATATGGAGATAATGGAAAGCATGTCTATCGAAAGTGTTTAGGCTGTTTCGAAGGACTTCCCCTTGCTTCCATCATAGCTGGGAAAGTTTACACTGCACATGGAGGGCTTTTCCGTGGCACTATCATAACCCCATCAAAAAGGTCTGAAAAGAAGAATCGTAAGGTTGTTCATAACCCCGAGGTGACTTCTTTGACCCTTGGTAACTTGGAAGAGTTGGGGAAAGCTAGAAGGTCGGTCGTCCTTGATCCTCCGTGGGAAGGTCCAAATCTGATTCCTGGTGATGTTTTAAGGTCAGACCCATCAATGAGCCCTGGTCTTGCTCCAAATAAGGAGCGCGGAATTGGCCTGCTGTGGGGCCCAGATTGTACTGAAGCTTTTTTGAAGAAGTTCAATCTAAAGGTACGCAATTTTATGCTGCTCATCCTTGTGCGCATCTGTTAGCAAATAGAATCTGTACACGTGGATTTACCATTCCACATCATTTTACCCAACATGCTTCTTTCATGTTGCTTTCTTTTTCCCCATGCAGTACAAGAGACGTTGCTCAATTCTTGGCAGCATGCACAGCTCATTACGAGCTGCATTTATTATTTTGCCTTTTATAGATAATTACTAGCTAGCTATATAAGAAAGCATCTTGTATAGAAACCCTAATGAGAAAGCTTTGATATCTCTGCAGCTTTGTTTCAAGCATTTCCTTTTATTGCTAAACTTTTCTTGTTTAAATCTAAAGCATGATTTGCTTTATCTCCAACATGGTATCAGAGCAGGGATAACTTGCTTTGATCCATTGTTGTAGAGATGGCGACACATTCTTCAGGAACATCTCAACCCACCAACCTTCTCTCTGCAAACCAACCCATCCAACTCCATAATCAACTCATCTCCTTCAAACTCAGAGATGAGAATCACTTAATCTGGAGGCAACAAGTGCTCACCACAGTCAGAGGCTATGGTCTTGAGGGCTTCCTCGATGGATCTACACAACCTCCAACCAGATTCATACCAGGAGATGAAGAGGGTCTACTTCAAGTGAACCCAGATTTCACTTCATGGCAGAGGCAAGATCAGCTTCTTGCATCATGGCTCCTCTCCTCCTTGTCAGAATCGATCTTGATCTCAGTTGTAGGTCTCAATAGCTCATCTCAGATCTGGGAAAGCCTGGAATCCAGCTTCTCAACACAGTCAAGAGCAAGAACCATGCATTACAGAATGCAGCTTCAAAATCTGAAGAAAGGAAATCTGAGTATTAGAGAATATGTGAACAAAGTCAAGATGTGCTGTGACACTCTAGCAGCTGGAGGTCATAAGATTTCAGAACAAGATCAAATCATGCATGTGTTAAGTGGTTTAAACTCTGAATATGATGCAGTGGTAGTGAGTATCAACACCAGATCTGACCATCTCACTATGATGGATGTGATGTCTTTACTTCTTACTTATGAAAGCAGACTCCAAGCCACTTCTGCAATCAATGAAGCTATCACTCTACCCTCAGCTAATGTAGCAGCTCAAGAGCATAAGCCCTCACACAACCAATATGGTGGTAGAGGAAGAGGCAGCCATCAAGGAAATAGAGGTAGAGGAAGAAATGGTAGAGGAAGAGGAGGCAGAGGCTTCAAAATGCAATGTCAAATCTGTAGTTATACCAACCATACAACAGATAAATGCTACAACAGGTACAACCCTGATTTTGTGCCTCAGCAAAGGAACTTCAATGAAAACAAAAGCTCTACACAGTCTTCAGTGATGTTTGCTGCAAAGGACAACAACCCTGAGATTGATTGGTATCCAGACTCAGGTGCTTCTCACCATGTCACAAATGATTTCTCAAATTTAAGTGTGGCTTCAGATTACTCGGGTCAAAACAAACTGCAGATTGGAAATGGTGCTGGATTAGACATCTCTCATGTTGGTAAGGGTTCTTGTTGAGTATATTTTTGGGCATGTGGTAACCGAGGTACCCGACTCGGGTCGTTCTCAAAGGAAGGCTCTTCGGAGCTTGGTTCACTATCTAGTCGTCAAAGTCACACAAC